TATATATATATATATATATATATTGTTGTGACTATAAAGTACATAATACAAAATGTCAAACAACTTTTGTGAGGTAACGTTAAAGTATTGTGAGGTAAAGCTAAATTTAAAAAATGCTTCGATGTCCCCTCGTGGGCTCCATRACAGGCAACTTAATACTGAACAAATATTTTCTTCTACACATGAAGAAAAAAAAATTACATTTCACAATTTAAAAACAAAGGTTTAAATTCCCGTCAAAGAATTACTTTTGTATATTTTACATATGCAGAGTTAAAACAACTTAGTTAAAAATTGTCCAGAATTGGTAAAAATCGATGTTTTTTAAGTAAATCAAATTATAACAAATTTAAGTTCTATGTTCTTAGACATTTCACAAATCTTGCTGCAAATTAATTAATTTTCCAAACTCTTTAAATTGTCAGTGAAATGTATTTTTTTCTTTGAGTTAAGTTCTGTGCTGCCTTATTTTATTTTTTTATGAATGATGAAACATAAACTACAGCAGCATCTGTACCCTGCATGACTTGTTTTTCTGCATCGTTATATAATTTTTGTGAGTAATTTTCTGTGTTAAAACATTACATGATAAAAGCAATCTTTAATTAAAATCTAAACTAAAAACATTTGTGTGACTCAGATTTTGCCTTTGTTGTTTTAAAACAGGCAACTGTGCAGACAAAAAGGGTTTTGTTCCTTTAAAAGTGAGAGAAAAGCTTTTAGTGCTCAATCRTTTGTTTACAGGTCTTATAAATGTTACATGACATAAAATGAGTCAGAGTTATCTGTTTCTCTTCTTGCATAATCCTAGTTAAAAAAAAAAACCCATTCAGTTAGTTATGAATAGTTTATGGAAGTCCAGTGTTACATWTATTCAAACACCAATTTCTATGTTCAATTGTTTTTGTTTGTTAGGAAATCAGTGAAAATGACATAAATGTATGAATGACTACAAATATCAAAATGRCATCTTTAGCCATAATTGGATAAGTTTTGAAAAATTTAATTTTCCTAAACAATAGCGGTAAAGTGTAAAATTTTTAAACGATGGTCTTTTAAATTTTCAGATGTGTGGCAGATTGTCATGATTTAACACTCCTGCAATCAAAATTTTTAAAACGTGATGTTTCATTTTTATATCCTTAAAAATGACTTTTTTTTCTATATCAGGGCAATTCTCCATCGCTACATTCTTCTTATCTAGAATATTTTTTTAAAGAATAAATAGAAACTTATGTATCACCAGTTTTGGGTTAAAATGACATCCTAACCTTGTTCCTTATGTCTTGTATGTCCTTRAAAATATTTATAATTTCATTGTTGCAAGTCTTCATTCCATAATTCAAATTACTGATGTCTGAGATTATTTTTCAACAAGTTATGTATAATGGATACCTTGAATGTAACTTTTAATTTTTTTGACACTCAGCATGACATTAGAGATATTGGATTGTTTTTCAACCCCCTGCAGTATTTGAATTGTTTACTTTTACTTATAAGAATATATTTATCTAACAGTAATGCAACATATTTTTTTTCTCATATAAACTTAAATCTTTTTTCATGTGTGTGCTAAAGCTACTACATACAAAGCACGTATTGGAGTATTAGTGTCCTCTACAGGTCACGTCTGATTAGATTGTCTCCACTGAAAGCTCTGCCTCTCCTTAGAGTAACTATGAATTTCAATTACATGTAAAGATGCAGCAAGATGGGCGCCTCGCGAGCAATCAGCAAATTAAAACGTCTCCTTCTTGATGCTTGTGGGCACCTGTAGCTTGTTTGAGGAGCTATGTTTAAATACAAAATGACATTTTGAATATTTTATAGACAACACTAGTTAATTAGGACAAGGCAGAAGATGTTGTGTTTATGCATTCGCTAGTATCAACTCCGACCTCACACACAAACCCTGTCTCCTGAGGAGGCTCAGCTCTCTTAAATCAGCAGACTCCTTCAAGAGGTTCTTCACCACTTCTCTCGTCTGATTGCTTTGGTATGAGTCAGTCACTTCAGGACATGAGACCCCTTCTTACCGTGGCGATAAAGTCTTTCCAGCTGAATTCGTCTTTTTATTTTTGTTGGGTTTTTTTCATCTGCTCTTAAAACAAAATGAAGAAGTCATTTGCTCTGCAGAGACTAGAGCTGGAAGTCTGCTGTTACCTGTGCTGAACACATCTTCTACTGAAGCTGACTGTGATAAAAACAGTCCACGTTGTGCTGCACACGCAGGAAAGTTCAGSCTCTTTCAGTTCAACAGTTTCATGTATCAGGACATAATAAAAATCGGCTCCAAAATCATTCAAATATAATATATTATTATATAATTATTATATTTTGACATTCTGTTGTAAATTTACATCTGTTGTTAAACAGATGTATTGACTCTATACTTAGGTCTATGGAGGAGTTTGTATTTGAATCAATTTTTACAAGGTCCTGCAAAACAAGCCCAAATTATCTCTCCACCTCCATGTTTGACACTGTGTTTTCTCCAAATACTGTGCATTATGGGTAATTATGTCTACTCTGGTCTATTGTTCTAAACGTTTTATGGTTCAATTAGATGCAAACGTACAAACCTATGAAGCCATGCTGCCATGTTCTTTGAAAAAAGAGATTTTCTCCTGTTGAACAGTGGTTGGATCTGTCACAAGAAGGTTGTAGGATTGCTTCCCAGACTGGGTCCTTTCTGGGTAGAGTTTGCATGTTCTCCACATGAGTTTCCTCCAGGTAATCTGATGTCTTCCCACGGATAAACATGCATCTTAGGTTAACCCGTAACTACATTGTCCATGGGAGAATATGAACAGTTGTTCGTCTCTATCTGGTCCTGAGATGGACTTGTGACCTGTTCGGGGTGTACCCCGCCCCTCCCACAGTGACTGCTAGAGAAGGACACCAGCTCCCCCCATCCCTGAAAGAAGAAACAACTGGAKGGATGGATTTTCTTCAAAGGGTAATCCTAACCCCAAAAGAAGATATTCAGTTTCTTTCTTTTGTCCTGTGATGAATGATAAACCTTTTCATTRTGTGACGAATGACCTTCAACCTGCTAACTGAGATTCTATCGATGCCTTCTGTAGAGCTGAGCATTGCACAGTCTGACCTTGGGGTGAATTTGTTAGGATGCCCACTCCTGGCATGATTGTCATAAATGTGTTCCTCTTGTGAAAATGATTTCTCTCTGTAGAATGGTGGACTCTAACTTCTTTAGAAATCAGTTAATCAAGTGTATTTTATTACCTGAGTTTATAAAATACCCCTTTAAATTGTACAGCGCAGCAAGGGTAGATTTCAGGCTTTGTTTTTGTTTATTAAATAACAACAAGTTGGAATTCGTCATGAGTTTTTGTACTCAAGGATATGAACCAGRTCATTTTAAGTATGTCCTGATACAKGAAGTCACAAAACTGAAAGAGGGTGGACTTTTTCCTTATGACTKCAGCCATGCTGCAGAACTGAGATCATGTGGTGCTATCTATCCACACTGGTTTCCTGTAGCCGATTGTTCATAATAGCCAAGGCCCCCACCCCACCAGAAAAACCATTCTGATGTCCGTAGCTCTGCCGTGGGCCCTGGTGAGCAGTTTCACTCAGCTGCTTCTGCAGCAGAGCCAGAGACACTTTATTGGACACCATGAACTCATTGACAGAGATCATCTCCTCTGACAGACGGCGGCCGTCGTACACTTCAGCTGCCGCCTCCATCTCGCTGTCGCACACCGTCTCTACAGAGCCGTCATTGTACCGGCGTCTGCCTGCAGGACAGTGGGAGGAGACGGGCTGCACCGCGTTGCGTTTTATGCGTTTCGGTCTGAGGCGCGCAGTCAAACGCCGCCGGTTGTGACTTTTGCTCTGGAAGCAGGGGCAGCAGAGCCACCGGCAGCCTTGTTTAGAGCAGGAGCAGAGCCGCCGTGGCCTGGAGCAGACCAGCTTCCCCAGGATCCAGTTGAGAGTTTGCTTGATGATGATAGAAATGACGTTGAAAAGCGAATAGATACAGCACACTCCCATTAGGATGAAAAGACAGTTTCCGAACCGGTAGGCCCCTTGAGAGTCATAACGCTCACGTTGACTGCTCACCAGGTCCCCAAAACCGATGGTGCTGAAGGCCACAAAGCAGAAGTATAGAGAGTCCACATAGCTCCAGTTCTCCATGGAGCTGTAGAGGGTGGAGGCGCTGCATGCAATAACAACAGATGCCACTCCCAGGATCAACATCACATAATACACTGATGGTTTCCAGCCCTCCAGGCTGTCCTCTTCACCAGATGACTCCTCTCTGCTCGACATCACCCCGACTCCACCGCACCTCAGCCGACGCTCGTGGCACCAGCGCATGATGTAAGCTAACATCGTGATGATCCTTTCCAGGAAGAGGTTGAAGAAGAGGATGGTAGCAGCACAGCCGATGAGACCATAGAAGATTAGGAATGTTTTGCCTGCGATGGTCGCTGGAGTGGTCATGCCAAAACCTGGAGAAAGAAACGCAAAATCAAAGCTCAAGTGCTCACAATAACTTGGTTGATGAGTTGGCACAGCATACGTAATAAATTGAATTTGTGTATACGTCATCGAAAACAAGCACCTACCAATAGTAGAAACCACGGTTCCCACAAAGTAGAACGCTCCGGAAAAATCCCAGCGTGGCCTCAACGTGTCTACTCTGATCCCCGCTCCGTTGGCCTCCTCATACTGCCGCAGCAGAGTGTGCAGGGCGCCCTGTTGGACCCTGTACCGCCTGGTGAAGTTGTTCAGCTGCTGCTTCCAGAGGAGGCGGGCCYGGAGCTCGGACGGGTGCTCCAGCGCAGAGAAGATGGCGGCGCCGCACAGCAAGTAGAGGAGGATGAGGCCGGCCAGCAGGCAGAAACGAGCGTTGTCCTCGTTCATGGGTGTCCTGTGGCAGCTGCAGCAGCCGCCGGCAGCCCTCCTCCGAGCCATGAGCACAGGAACACGGCTTCAGAAACATGCACCTGCTCTCTCAGCTCGCACTCTTACTCTACTCTATACGATGCACGTGTCACCCACCATACAACTTGATTTTACAGACAGCGTGAGGCATGTGGCTGATTAAATGCCTCSTGGACGTAATCACCTGTTGTAAAAGTCTGCAATGAAACAAAACAAAAAAAAGTATTAATATCAGGTTTTGGTCAAATCTAGACATTTTGAACTTATTTGTTTCATTTTTTTTAATTTACCATTTAAACATTTGACTGAAAACAGGCCACACTTTGTCTGAATCAGTAAATCATACTTGAACAACAACAACAACAAAAAAAGTAAGACAYTATCTATGATACCCAACCCATACCTGACCGCTGACGGTCCACTCCCTGAACGCTGCTGGCTTCTGTGAGCTCAATTCAGGATCTGCTGAACAATGACAAGAGGAAGCTTCTTGTGTTTTGTGTGTGTGTGTGTGTAAACTGAGAGTCTGWCTGATGTTTCATACATCGCACACTGACATCATCATCTCCTGTGAACCCTCCTCCTCCTCTCTTGAACGCACCCTGATTGGTCCAGTCCTCTCTTTATTTAAATATTATCTTGTTTTTTTTTCTCTCAAACTCTATTTCCCACAAAAAAAATCACATCTAATTAAAAAGTCACCCAAAATAACAGGTAATTAAATCAGCTTTTGCATCTATTAAGCACAAGCAAATGTTGATTTCCCTGATGAAGTATAATCATTTCATACTAATGTTTCTCAAAGATAAATAATGTTGTAATGTAAACAGAAGCTCAGCGGTTCAGCCAAATATGTTATTTCCCTTGTTTGTCTTTATCATCACTGTGAGGTCGTTTCAGAGCCACCAAGAGCTTTTTGTTGTTCCTGCAGACTGTGTGGGAGGATTTACAGAGTGTGACTATCAGTTTTTTCTGTCTGTTCATCCCTTTAATCTTGTCTGGCGCTCCAGGTAAGGGCACAGGTTCCTCTCGCCAGCCGACTGATGGTTGAACGACAGCAGCAGGCAGGTGTGGACAACTCAATCCATCTGCTTTGACTCACAGAAACTTGCATTTACAAAACCCTTGATGATGATGATATATATATATAT